TGCAAAGAGCAAATTGGCAAACGTGCATTTTAGAAGATTCTGCACATATCTGAGGGAACAGAAACGTTACCGCAAGATTGCAGAAAAAACAGAGTGATGATTTAGTTGTGTGGAAGATGTGTATGGTCAGCAAAGGCAAGTCTCAAGAGCAAAGGCCAATTCCTGGCCCTGCTGAAGCCCAAGGGAGGCTTGGTGGGACTCGCCCCAAGTGTTATTGGCTGTACTTTGGCAGGGTGAGTGGGCAGAAGTGTTTGGTGGGGTCTGACTACCTGATGGTCACCTCAATTGTCAGTGAATCAGTGGCTGGGAAACCCCCCACTGTTGGGGACAAGGTGTGGTGCAACGTGTAGTGTTCACACCACGCGGCCTCAGAGCCGGAATAAAACATGGATGCTCTGGTCCATCCTGCAGAGGAGGTTATCAAGCCCAGAGATGGTCACCGCCCTCTGAGCAGCAGAAAGCGGATACCTGATGTGAGGGGGAAGAAGGTGCTTGCCTGGGCAGGGAGAAAGGCATGGCCAGACTGCCAAGTAGCTTGGGGTCGAATGAAAGTGGGACCTGGGCAGTTTTAAGCCTGGGAATTATGAAAAGAAGCTGTTACAGGACTTCAGGATATTAATGTCATTTTTTCTGACCAGACCCACTCAATAACCCTAGCAAATCCCAATGATGAGTCAATTTTCTATTGTCAGTGCCACAAGGCAGAGAGAAATGCTGAGACAGCCTGAAGTAACATACAGCTCAGCCTAAACCACTTGCCTGTTTTGTTTTGTTCTTTTAATTCTTTTCAAGAATTGGAAAAGGATGGCAGATTTCACCAGAAGTGAAACAAAACCACAAGGGTCTTTGTCTGTGGATTAAGTGTTTTCAAGAACTAGCAAGAATAAATGTTTTCCTGTTTTCACTCTGTTTTCTGTACCTTAGGACCAAGCCGTGGTAGAATATTTGCTGAGACTCCCAAGTTTTCTTATTTGGAAACTATTATTTTAGAAAATGAGTTTTTCAGAACTGTGCATCCCAAGGAAGGAAATTAAGGTCAGAGATGAGAAAAACCCACCTAAGGGCCTGAAATACTTTTATTTTCTCAAAGACCACCCTGTGTGAGAATGATAGATTTAAAAATGGGTGGAACCTCTATGCCTGGAGTTGTATCAAGTTATTCATGAAATATCTCTGAGATCTTTGTGGACCAAGATATTTGGGTGGTACTTTCTCACTCTTTCTTCAGAAAGGCACTGTGGCCTCACAAAATGAAAGCTAGCCCTGCTTTTTCTCTGTCTCTAAAACTAAAACTACGTATCTTGAAAAGCTGTCTCAGCCATAGTGAAGGAGTGAAAAAAAAAAAGTGTATTGTATCCCCATGGATATAATACCCATGCAGTGCAGCTGTGCTAACAGAGTGCATTGAGATGGAGACCAAAGGAAAGACATGAAATAGTCCATGAAATAATCAGTTAATTGAAACAGTAAAGCTGCATGCAATGGGCAGATCTATTGTCCAGGTATCCTATGGCAGATGGGAGGTTTTTGTCTTTTTTTTAATATATTTTTTTTAGGAGGAAAAACTCCAGAATTTTAATATTAATTTGTATTAATAATTTTGTTACTGAAATCAATGGGAAAGTTATCTTCTGCTAGGAAGTCTACTTTACTTTGAATTAAAATCTCTAAATATTCTTACTATATATTTGGATTAAATATCCACATCTATGGAATTAAAAGCTTTGATTTCACTTCTGGTTGAATATCTGCAGGATGATGATCAAATTTGAAAACAACTATGTCTCTAGGTCTCTTAAATTAGTTTTAAAAAAAAAAAAATCATTGTTTTGAAAGAAGCAAACTTGCATCAACATTCAACCTTCAACAGTCCCTTCTAGGTCTTGGGATGATTATTAGCAGTACAGGAATAATGGAGCGACTATTGACCAAATGTTGTATGTAGTTGCCACAGTGGAGCTATTCCCCCTGCGCCAACTCTGAGTACAAGTGGTTAGTTTATGACCCTCTTAAGGTTACAACATTTTAATGTTTCTTCAGTGTTTATTTATTCTCTTCCCAAAGAATGTTCTGAAATATCGAGTTTACAACCTGTGGCTCATGTGATGGTAGTGGAAACAATTAAGCTAGAAGCTTTCAAAGCCACCACTGGGATTTTGATGCCCAAACTCATTAATTTTAATAAGAAGTGAGCTGCCAGTCGTCTTAAGTGGTTTTCAAAATCTCAACCCATAAAAACACCTCTCTACTGGTTCCAGTTTACTAGGAACTCAGAGCAAGGTAAACACGTGTAACAAAATAGTAGGTGTTAAAAGGTGGAAACTATGTGTTCAGATGTCTCTAAGACCCTTCAAGGAACCAAATGGTGGGGCCAGCTTTGAGCTGGCAGAGGTGGGCTGATATGGGGGCTGCTCCTACCTTCAGTGTCCTCAGGGAATTACTGCCTGATCAGAACCTGAGGCACAGCTTTGGTGGCTAGAAGAAGAAAGTCAATGGAAACAGAGTCTTGCAACGGCTCAGTTCCAGCTGTGATGATCATATTGTTTGTCTGCTGTGGGCTCTCACATCTGCTCCATGCTCTTACCTTCTTAACATGTTTCTGCCCATGACAGCCTTGTGGCCAGTGTAGTGCTCTTCTCCACAGGGTGCTATTGGATGGCTGTGTTGCAGGAAGACCTGGGTGAATCTATATCACATGGTGAAGAGTAGAGGTACCCACAGCAGTACCAGAATGAGCTGTCTTTGGGCAGTATCAACCACCTTGTATTCCATTGCTTTGGCATAGATGCAGCAGACAATGAGGCCAGGCCTTTCTTGCCACTCACTGCTGCCATTGCAGTTACCCATGTGATGTTTGTAGGTGCTTGGTTCAGGTCCTTCTTACCTGCCTGACCCATCCGAGCAAAGTTCACACTATGTTATCTTCCAAGCTTCTAAATGGCTGCATTTGCATGTTCAAGCTTCACTGATCCACCATCATGGTTGGATAAAAATTAAGAAGTCTGCTGTGGCCTGAGGGCCACCCAGTGCAAACCTATGAGAGTCTTTCCTTTTACAGGAGTCTGAAGATAACTTTGCTTCATCCATGAGTCTGTATCACAGCCTAAGAAGTTCTGAAGGCTTTGGAGAGCACCACCATCTACCAAAGGAAGTTGCTGTACTGACAAAAACTCATCCTCAGCAGAAATCATGGAAGAAAGTCTTAATGGGGAACAAAAATCCAGAACCAGCAGATCTCTCTGTGATGTAAAGTAGATCATGGAGTGAGTCTGAATGAGTTTGGAAAGAACTCACTGAGAGTCTGAATGCTAGTAAAAACATGGGCTTTTCTTGCATCTTTTATTAAAGAGAGCAACCTTGGAGAGTTTTAGAATTAGTTTAAACAGGTGTCTTTCTTCTCTGTATCTGTCATCTGATCTCTGAAGAAATTCATTAACGTTGGCTATGAGTGACGAAGTTCCTGTGGTTTTTGCCAGTGAGTCTTATAGTAGCAACAATTAATTATCAGTAGCTACTGGAAGGACCTGTGGGTGAAACACGATGCAGTGGAAATGGAGATGACCATCTTGACTGCTATTGTAGCAGACTTCAAAAGAATAAAAGAGAAAAAAAGTCACCATTAGTAGTAGATGTGACTTTTTTGGAAGAGAACAAAATGTTCCATAAATGAAACATGTGGTTTCACTTGCAGCACATTTTGTACATTGTCACCAATGAAGTTCAGGATTTTTTATTACTTTTTCATTAAAATGTCTTACTGGTTTCACTCAGGAGGCAAAACTTTTCACGTGGCTTTAATTGTTTCTGTCATAAAAGTCGTAGCATCCATGTAATAGAAATAGTTTTGCTGACCACAGCTTCATATTGCCTATTAATTTGCTTCCATTTTCTGTACCTACAACTCATTAGGATATCCCAGAGACAGAAAAAGCTCCTGTCTTGCAATTAAGACCAAAGAGGAACTTTTCCTGAAGTTGGGGGGGGGGGAAGGAAAGCTTTGTGTCAGTACTGGTTTATTAGATTTTTTTTCTTTCCGATATCTTAACTCACACATGTAAGTTCAAATGGCCACATATTAATGGAGAGAGTTTGTACTGACATTTTTTTCTACAATTAGTGAAATTTTAGAAGTTGAAAACAATGAAAGGCCTTTTTCTGTGTAATTGCCATGAGATGCAAGAGGTGGTGGCGTTTCAAACAGAAGTGAAGAGCTCTGGCTCTATTGTTTCAAGGTAGCTTTGGACAGGTAATTTACCAGCCTTTGGGCTTTATTTCTCCATTATACAAAAAACGTGTTAGAGTTGAGGTCTCACTTGTCCCATCACAGCAGCTGAGCTACTAGACCACACTTCTGTCATTAGTCTGTGCTTCCATGTCACCAATCCAACTCAGATGAACAAGCATAATTATTGTTGCACTCAAAACACTGACTTGTCTTCCACAAATTATATCCAAATTTGGGAAAAAAAAACAAACCTGGGAACTAGTATTATTTCATTAATTTAAGATCAGCATCTCTGAAGGTATCTGTTTTCTTCAGAGTGGCAGTTTTGCAGTTTAACCTTCAGCCCAGCGAGGGAGATGATCATAGAATCATAGAACGGCTTAGGTTGGAAGGGACCCTAGAGATCATCTAATCCACCCTCCCTGCCATGGGCAGGAACACCTCTCCTGTTGACCCCTACCACCACCTCTAAGAAGTAATTATAATGCCATAAAACAGCAATAACGTATTAAATGCCTTTTCCCCCTTTTTGAGTTTGTTTATTTGAAAGCTTGCTAGGAAGCCACCACTGTTGTCTTCAGCTGCTGCCCCAGAGCAAAAGCCTCTCTCCTTGTACACCTTCTTAGCAGTTAGAAGCACACACAAAGTGGTGTAGTCCTCTGTTTTCACTTTTTGTTAGCACCATGCCTCACGTATTCATTAAATGTATAAATGCTGTGTTTTGCAGTTCAAGGACAACAAAGACAAGCCCAGCCTTGGATGGATCCTCAGCAACAGCCCTGCCCGCTGTCCAGCTTTCTGAGCAGGTCCCACTGACATCTCCTTCCCTGAAGCCCCTGCAGATGGATGAAGAAGACAGCCTGTCTCCTCACCTCCTCTTGCCAGATAGCATCAGCCAGCTGGAAGAGTTTGGCAGGCAGAAGAAATGGCACAAGAAGCAGCACAAACACCATCGCCAGAGGCAGTTCAATGACCTCTGGGTTCGGATAGAAGACAGGTGAGTCATAACTTTTATGGTCCCTGTCCTCTTCCTGCTGTCTCCTAATGGTTGCTCTTTACAGATCGCAGCTTTTGTTGATTAGACCATAAGGAGAGTTGGCAAAAGGCTAAAGGGGAGAAACAGGGAGTGAGGTCATGGTTTTGGAGCTCAGTGGAGAAACAGGAGGAAGGCTCATAAGCGCATTTGATCTAAAAGTAACGAGAAAAAAAGCTAATGCTTAAAATATTTAAAATATACAGAAACAAGGACTTGTCAGAGGAAAAACAGGAGAAAAAATTACAATGGAAAATATTCTGTGTTTGCCTGCTTTCTTCTAATAATTCCTTTCTCTCTTTACTGTCAGTTTTCAGCCCAAAGACTCGCCCATTTTCCAAACATACAGAATATTCCTTAGAGCTTTTAGGATTCTGACCTATCTGACTGGCAACATTCTTAACTGTTTTCTGGGGCTGAAATGTTTTAGTATCTCAAACTGCACTGAAAACAACAAACTGAGGCTAATTGATGTACTCAGCCAAGGTGCCTATGTGAAGAGAATGGAGGGAGACACATTTCTGTGGCCATTTCAATCTTAGTCCAAGGTTAAAAACTCCCATTCAGTGTTTAAGACCCCTGATGTTTGACCAGGGTGTCTCAACATATGCTTTCAGGATTCCTGAGCAATTTTTTTCCCCAGCTTTAAAATTGAAAAAGCTCTTAGTGCCTTTATCCAGGCCAAGTCATGGGCAGATAAACAGCCACAATATTTATAGATCTCCTAAAAAGTAAAAGGAATGAAATAATCTGTTGGGAACTGGCTGCTCGCCTATATACGTAATGACTGTCTTTGAGCATTACTTTTATTCCCATTTTCATAGCACCTAAACTCCTCGCAAGTAAAATGAGTCAGAGTCTTTCAGAGGCTTCTCCTTTTGCTATGGAAAAAACTCCACATATTTGTGTTTTGGGATATTTTTCAAAATTATTTTTATTCATTCTTTTAATGGAGCAGTTGTCTTGGGTTTTTTTAGTTCACCTCTGGTGGGTGATGTAAGTGTTGTTAGTAAGATGGTGCATATTAATCTTAACATAGTAAGGCTATTTCTGAGGATAATGCTAGAGTTATTAAGGATTCATCTGTTTTGTTCTCAGAGTGCGTTGAGTGGTTGGATCCCCTCCACAGAGGGTGTTTAAGCATGAACTAAGAGGCATTTGGTTCAGTATTGTTGACTGCCTCAAGGACAAGGGACTTTTCTGTCTTCTGCCTGTGGGCCACTGAAACATGGTGTCCCTGTGGTGTCCCAGCATGTCACAAGGATGTCTGCTCCAGCTCGACATAAGTGTCATACATGTGACGTGCTTAAGTAGATCTGGTGGGTACAGTCCTCCTGCCTCCACCCTATCTGTACAGAAAGAATATTGGATATTCGGAAAGAATATTGGATATTAATGGTTGGACTCGACAGTCTTAAAGATCTTTTCCAACTGAAATGATTCTGTGATTCTGTGGCTGTGGAATCCTGCAGTTGAGGGCTTAAAGCAGTGGTGTTTGCTTAGCTTTGGTGGACTTCTATAACCTTTGCTGCTTTTGTTTCAGTAAGAAATGTCCCTAGGAGATGCATATAAAAGGGTAGTTCCCTAGGTTAGAGTTAAATTATTCTCTCTGTGCTCCTGTGAGATTTTATCTGAATCAAAACCTTTTATCCCTCTACTTCCATTTCATAAGGATGGAGATTGGGAGAAGGAAACATAAATTTCCGCTCCCACCACGCTGGTGATGAACCAGACGCTGTGTGTCGCCTGCCTTGCTGAAAGATCCCAGGGAGATACTAGTGGGAGATCACAGCCCTAGAAATGAGGAAAGGCTGGAAGAAGGGAAGGCTGCCTTAATGCTTTCAGATGGTTTCAGGGTTTCTACAGTTCTGGAGCAACTTCTGGTGTTTTCCTGGAAACAAAACAAAACAAAAAAAAAATACAAACCATTCAGCTAAATCAGAGACTCACAACTAGCTCTGGTTTCCCCATGAATTGGATAGGGTCTCAACTTTCATAAACCAGCTGCCACATATTGTGCTTTTGGCAGTTGGGTTTCTTCAGCAAGCTGGACCTTGCACAAAGCAATAAAGAGTGAGTTCTCTCTAGCTGACTCCTTTCTGATTGGCAAGAAAAGAGCAGAAATGTGTGCCTGTCACCAGGCTTTGTAGCATGATCATTCCTGGGAGGAAACAGCTAGTATGTCTGTGGGCAATGGAGTGTTAGCTGTGCAGGAGGCAATGTTGACCAGCATGCAACAGTGAGACTGTTGGCACTCATTTTTGGAGGATAATCAGTGTACAAGAAGTTCACGCTCTCGTCTGTCCCATAGATCCCTTGTGCATTTGCATATACTTAAATTGGAGCCCCTCATATTCTATACGAACTGAAGTCTCCACGTACTACCTTGAGCTGTGGCCCTATTATTTCAAAATGGTTCTTCCGGCTTGAGTTTTCGAACTCTCCTGTTATCACCTGAAACTTGACTTGTTCACCTTTGAGACAAAGTAGAGGTAATTAGGTCATTGTTACAGCTTTTGGATGAAAGCTGCATAAAACTCATGGTTTTCATGTGAGGTCTCCAGAATTCAGCTTTTTGAGCTGCCTTTCAACCTGAAAAGTCAAAGAGAAATATACAGGTGGAGGACAAATCCAGGCGAACTTAAACCAGATTATTGATTCTTGTATGAATCTCATTGAACTGTGGAATGACTGTGGTTCATACAGCTCTTTTCCAAAGCTTTATTGACCGTGGATTAGAGGACTTTACGACCCATGAATTGTAGGGCTTTTATGGACTACACATTTCTAGGCTATCTCATACACTTCCATGGAAATCTTGGGGTGTTTTTTTAAGCTACCAACACAGAAACAAAGAAAATGAACACAGGAGAACAATCTTAAAGGAACATCAAAGGTCTGACTCCAACCTATAAAAGCCAGGAAATCCATAATTAATGGTTCCACTAAGACTTCAGCTCACACAGTCGTTCAGGTCTGATCTGAGGTTATAGCTACAATCTGAAAGGGCCTGGTGAAAAATGAGTCATCATTTAATGTCACACATCATTATTAGTATTTACTTTCAGTTATACCTTGGAGATTGTCCTTTCCTTTTTTTGTTCTGTCTTAACAGCTGAGGCATTTGAGTTGGCACCCTTGAGTGGGTGGTGTTTAAATTTTTGTGTTGGAGGGTTAGTACCTCTGTGGAGGATGAGAAAGCTTCTGCTCGGCCTCCTCCCTGACTTTGTCAGAGATAAGATTTGCTGATCTCCTGGGTAATCGGCTACACGGAAGGCTATTAAAAAATAAGAAATGCTGATGAAATGTGTGGTTTCCTCTCCCTTCTGCCTCCTTCCCCCAAAATCTAAACAAAATGAAAAAGCCCTGCCTGGCTGCAGTTTGTGTTTGTTGAGAATCAAAATTACATGGAGATTTCAAGTAGTGAGATTTTTTTCTTTAACTGCTTGATTTTGGAGGATAAGTGCAGATCTGAAGACTGTCATTGGGAGGAATTTGAGCTTAGACAAAACTTAAACCCTAGCTAGCTCCTGTAGCCAAAAGCCAGCTGGGGCAGCAGGGAGGGGAGGCAAAACCCTTGGGCTGGAAGGCTGCAGTTTGGCTTGCCGAGTGTGTTATTGTTCCTGTTGACACTGTGTTAGCTAAGCTTCCCCTTATAATATAAATAATTAATTACAGATCATTCACTGGCATTTCATGATGAGCTGCTCTGTTAATTGAAGGAGCAGAGAAATGGCTGTGGCTTTTCAGAGTAGTCAGTGAAGGCCAGATGGGGATTGCATCTTTACTCTAACAGGCAAGTGGTTTTGCGCTACAGACAAAACCAACTCAAGGTAACAGAGAACCTTCCCCAGGTGGGAGGGCAGCATTGGAGCTCCTGGGACCCTAAGGCAGGGCTGGAGGAAAGCACCTGGGAAAAGGGAGGGAGGGGTGTTCCTAACTGGGAGGGTGTTTCTGGAGATGGGAGGTTTGGAAGGAGCAGTGTCATCTGTGGGATTTGAAAGGGAGAAATATAGTGATGAGAAGAAAGAATTAAAAAGGTTGTAATGGCTATAATGGGTAAATTCAAAGGTTTGTTCCCACTGCCAGGGAAGAGACCTGAGTGAAGATGCTCTTTGGAAAGACACTGAGGATACACAGATGCTTCACTTGCACAGGAGAGAAATTAAAGGAAAAGAATTGCTATCAGAAGGGAAAAAAAAGAATTCTTGTCCCAGATGTAAGCTCAGCCCTGCAAAACCTGCCTTTAGTGGAAAATTAAATTAATTCCCCCTGCAATTGGAAATGTCATTTCTCTGATAGCCCAGCACTGACATTTCAACCCCAGATGAATGCAATAACATCACAAATATCAATTTCTTTTGGAAGCAAGTTATTTTAGGGGGGAAAAAAAAAAAAAAAAAGTTATACCAGTGATGGATGAAGGGAGACAATGTATAATAAACTGCACTAAGTGTGCCTGGATAGAGTGAACCTTATCAGTTTGGATGGAATTTAAGCACTTAACCTGTTATCCTTTCTTTTAAGACAATGCAGTGATGGAAAACAGAACTCTGTCAAATCAGACAAAACTTTTAATTTCACATAACTGCATCTGAAAGGTAAATTTCAGTAAATGAATCCAAATTGCTTCCTTTTCACAACACACGGTGCTGAAATACAGTACTTTACTTCATTAAAGAAAAGACTGCTTTTCTTTAGAGGAGACCGAGACACTTTTGAAGTCTAACAGGTAAATTGTGGTCAGATGATTTCCCTCCATATGGTAGCTTTGAGCTTGATGTTTTCATCACTGGGGCCTTGTTTGTTTAAATTACTCTATCTGCCTCCCTGGTATGGATACTGCTTGGAGAGCCCTTGCTGGCTGATGCTCCTGGGGAGGGGAACCACTCCCTCCTCCAGCCTGTCTCCATGCTGCTGAGCAAGCAGTTGCCACCATTGCACTTATTTTTCTGATGTTCAGC